ATAAAAATCAGATACAGGCCCTTAGAGAAGCACAGAGCTTGTCTGGTGGTTAATTCATTTTCTAGCTGTTTGATCTTGGATATGTTATTTAATCTCTCTAGGCTTCAGTTTCTTTGTCTGTAAAATGAGAAAAATAATACTGTATGGTCTTATTTTAATTCGAATATTTATTGTTTCACTTTATGTGTGAAATCTAAATAACCCCAACTTCCCAAATTAAAGGTTGTCAAGAATCTTGCAAGGTTGTGGATTGTAAATTGTAAACTCTGGCCAGGTGCGGTGGCTCACGCCTGTAATCCTAGCACTTTGGGAGGCTGAGGTGGGTGGATCACCTGAGGTCAGGAGTTCAAGACTAGCCTGGTCATCATGGTGAAACCCCATCTTTTTTTTTTTTTAATTGTAAACTGTGTTTATGCTATAGCCACATGATAGCACTGTCCTAACAGGTACTCAGAAATATCTGCCATTCTTCAACAGGTGAGGTATCTTTTTTAAAAAATTTATTTGCATAGGTTATTGGGGAACAGGTGGTGTTTGGTTACATGAGTAAGTTCTTTAGTGGTGATTTATGAGGTTGTGGTGCACCCATCACCTGAGCAGTATACACTGCACCCCACTTGTAGTTTTTATCCCTCACCCCTTTTTCACCCTTTCCCCCGAGTCCCCAATGTCCATTGTGGCATTCTTATGCCTTTGTTTCCTCATAGCTTAGCTCCCACTTACGAGTGAGAACATACAATGTTTCATTTTCCATTCAGCAGGTGAGCTTTTAATGACACCAGTTTTGAATTACTTGAGGTCTTTACGAATGCCTCCCTTGAGTAATTTGACTGTTCACACCTCCCTTATAGAGTAGTTGTGAATATTTAATGAAATAATGCAGCAACCGGCCCACAGTAAGCACTCAGTAACAGTAGTGTTTTTTTGATACAATAATCATCCCTGAGAACAAAGAGAGAGAGAATGCAATGGGAGAAGGTTATTATATTCATGAGAATAAATCAGCAGACCTGGGTCTGCTGTTTCCTCATCTGTAAATTGGCCGTACCAGTGACCCTGTGAGGAGCTGAACATTTGCAAACTTTGGCATCAATGGCAAAGTTGAAGATGAAGGCAGTTACAATGGCTGATGCAATTCTATAGCTCGGCGTGAATGCTATAAATGCCCGTTTTTCTATGGGTGTGCCCCACTTTAAACAAGATTGGAAAATTCAGATTTAATCATTCAATGACTAGCTTGTAACTTTTTGTTAGTATTACAATGTGCAGGCTGAGTATGGTGGCTCACACCTGTAATCCCAGCACTTTGGGAGGCCAAAGCAGGTGGATAGCTTGAGCCCAGGAGTTCGAGACCAGCCTGGACAACCTGGCAAAACCTCATCTCTGCAGAAACTATGAGAATTAGCTGGATGTGGTGATGCATGCCTGTAGTTCCAGTTACTTGGGAGGCTGAGGAGGGAGAATCGCTTGAACCCAGGAGGCAGAGGCTGCAGTGAGCAGAGATAGTGCCACTGCACTCCAACTTGGGCGACAGAGCAAGATATTGTCAAAAACAATAAAATAAAATAAAAAATGTGCAAAGACTGTCTGGGAAGGATTAAAAAGCTATGAAACATGCCCTTACCACTGAGGAAATCATAGCCCAGACAAGCAGGGATCAGTCTGGCTTATTGGCGGCCTCACGTGGATCACAGACTACTCTACTCTGTACTCCATACTTTTGGTTTTGGGTTTTTAATTTTAAATTGTTGCCAATGTTAAACTTGAGAGATTTCATGTTTAACATCGGTGTTTGCTGCTTCTCTTGAGCAGCAGAAGGCTCTGGCAGCACCGAGTCTGCATTTGGGCAGGTCACCAGCTGGCTGCCCCTTGAGACAAGATAATACGAGCTGACTTGTGTCTCCCGAGAATTCACACATTGAAGTCCTAACTCTCAGATTCTCAGAATGGGACTATTTAGAGACAGGACCATAAAAAGGGTAATCAAGGTAAAATGAGTCATATGGGTGGGCCCTAATCCAGTATGACTGGTGTCATTATAAGAAGGGGACATCAGGACACAGACACAGAGTGACAACCATGTGAAGACACAGCAGATGGCCACCTGCAAGCCACAGAGAGAGGCCTCAGAAGAAACCGACACTGTGGACACCTTGATGATGGGCTTCCAGCCTCTAGGATCATGAGAAATACATGTCTATTGCTGTAGCTCCCCAGTCTCTGTATTGTTATGGTGTCCCACGCTGACTAGGACAAAGAGCCTGAGTTGTCAGGGTCCACAGTCCTCACCGCTCCCAAATGTCATGCATCCCACTCCTGTACACATTGTTCACAGCCTCTGTCAGTATCTGGGTTTGCAACCCCTGATCCAGAGGAAAAGAGTAATGATGCTCCATGTATGTTGTGTGTTCTTATTTCAAAGTTCTGATGTTCATATCTTCTTTAATTCTCCCCACACTTCTAAGAGGCTGATACTGTCATCTTCACTTGGCAGAAGAGAAAACAGAGCTTGGAAAAGGGAAAAATGATTTTTCCTAGGTCAGAGCTGGGGTGTAACTCAGGCCTGCTGGCTCGGGGCCCAGAGCTCATGTTCCTTTACCATGGCCCCTCAGCTAACAGGGGAGTTACTAACAAGGCAGTGATGTGTATGTGCATGTGTATGCGCATGTGTATGTCTGTTATAGAAGTAAGCTATTTATAGAAATGAACAAATCCAGGGGAAGGTTATTTGCTGGAAAAAATATTTGGCACAGAATTCCTTTCAAAAGAAAAGCTAGAATGGAATATAATTAATAGAAGTTTGATTTATGCAAGAGTTCAGCTCATGGAGGCAAAGTAAGGTGGGCAGGCCTTTGACCTGGAAGGAGTGGGTGTGAAGCTGTGGGTGTGGAGAGGACTCTCTTACCCCACAAAGAACATTCAGGAGTAGAAAGCGTCAGTGATTGAGACTGCAGGAGAGACTCTCCGATCAGCAGGGTCAGGATAAGAAAAGGAATAGCGAGACAGGGGAGAAGAACAGGGAGATGTGCAGAGAAAAAAGTGACATCTTGGATGAATATTGGATAGAGACAGAGTGGCTTCAAAGGTGACTCCAGCCTTGTGAAAAGTAGTCTCAGTTCATCCATACAATGACACAGTATGACACCATTAGAAGGACAAAGTAGGCCTGTATATGCAGATATGAACATGGAGAAGATACACTATTAAGTTAAAAAAGCAAGTTGTGCCATGGAACGTAAAGTATGATTCTCTTTGAGTTTAAAAAAAAAAAATGGCCAGGTGAGGTGGCTCATGCCTGTAATCCCAGCACTTTGGCAGGCTGAGGTGGGTGGATCACAAGATCAGGAAATTGAGACCATGCTAGCTAATACGGTGAAACCCTGTCTCTACTAAAAATACAAAAAATACAAAAAATTAGCTGGGTGTGGTGGCACACACCTGTAGTCCCAGCTACTTGGGAGGTTGAGGCAGGAGAATAGCTTGCCCCTGGGAGGCGGAGGTTGCAGTGAGCCAAGATCTCACCATTGTACTCCAGCTTAGGTGACAGAGCAAAACTCTGTCTCAAAACCAAAACAAACAAAACCCAGCACAAATATAGAGTGTATATGTGTGTGTGTGTGTGTGTGTGTGTGTGTGTGTGTGTGTAGGGGTTGAAGAAATAATTTCTGAAAAGAAACAAAATCTTGTTAAAGGGATTACACCTTTCAGGAGAGAGTGTGTGGGTTTTTACTTTTCACTTTCTACCTTTTTGAACTGTACGAATTTCTTATGATGAGTATCGTTACTTTTATAACATTTAAAACAAAAGGTAACCCTAAGGTTTAAGGATTGGAAGACAGGTAAGTGTGGTATCCCTCCTGCTAGGAGGTGGAGAGAAGTCAGACATTTGGCAGGAAACAAATTCTGCAGTGAATCTGATGTGTCAGAATGAAGGGCTGTAGTGATGGTGGAAACGTGTGGAGTCTGAGGAGTGGGCAGCTGAGAACAGGAGTAGTTGATATAATTACTCCAGATGACAGAATAAAGTAGAGAATGGTGCAGAGGGAGGGCAAAAATAAGGATGTGAGAGGACAGATTTTTAACAATGCTAACAGCACCAGCCCTGGGTTGACCTACGTAGGACATTGGCTATTATTATTACTGGTTCAGCATGATGGAAACACAGGGTCTCTGAGAGATGGTCAGTCTAAGGAAGGGACCCCTGAAGGGTTCCAAGCATGGCAATTTTGTGGTCAAGGAGCAGGAAGGATCACAGTGAGGTTGTGCAAGGGACTTATGGTGTCAGAGGAGAGACCTGGGCTGGGAGACTATTAGGGGCCATTGCAATTGTTTAGCTGAAAAGTGAGGTCCTAGAAGGGGGCAGCAGCAGTGGGGTTGGAGAAATAAGAACAAAGCATATTAAGACAAGTAGTTCAGGGGAGGAAAAAGAGTGAAGAATCATGAGGCACTGGGTACAAATCTCTGCCTGACGTTCAACACCTTTTGAGCTCAGTTTGACAGTCTGTATCACATATTTAAATAAATGTGACTATTAAATGAAATAATGCATTCAGTAAATGTTAACTGTGATTGTTAGCTCAGGTACCGGACTCAAACGTACCAGACTTAAGTCCCTTTTTCATCAGTTACGAGCTGTGCAACCCTGTTGAAGTCATTAACGTCTCTGAGCCCAGTTCCTCTTTTGTAGACAGGGATAATCTGTTGTCATGAAAATGAAAGAGCGCAAGTCAAGTGCGGGCAGGACTTGGCACAAAGTAGGCGCTCAATATGGTAAACCACTGGGCACGGAGCCTGGCATACAGTCAGGACTCCAAAGATGTTAATTTGTGTTATAACACAGAAGGCAGAAGCAAGAGGCAGGAGTGCGGGAGCTGCCCAGCCCGCAATGAGGGCGCGCTGGCAGCTCTCCCGCCTTCGCACCCGCCCCGCCCTCAGCAGTGCGATCCTCCTTCTCCCGCGCGCACTTGCCGCCCCTCCCGACCGCGGTGCGGGACACTCACCCTCGCGGCTGCCCGCCACGTCCAGGGGCGTCCGGAGCAAAGAAGCTCTCGGCGGCGCTCCACGTCCCTGCTTTTCTCCGCGGCAGCAGCCAGGCCGAGCGCCGGCCCCAGGCATAGTTTTCCCATCCCGTCATGGGCGGGAGAGCCTTCCTCCCGGTCACGTGGGCTGGCCCGCAGCGCAGCACTCTTTTTAGCAGCTGTTTGGAAAAAAACTTGCAGCGCTGATGACAACTCGGGTGTGTCGCTGCATCTCTGCGTGTGTAGAACTTGTGAGTGTATAATCAGACTGATTGATTCCCACGTGTTTATAAAGGTGTGAATGTACTTGTGATGATAAATCATATATATGTGTTTAGTTATGTGTGTGCATACGTGCATTTATCAACATTTTCATCAGGGCTGTTCGGTGTATCCACACATGCACGCGCATGTCGAAGACGGCAGCTCGGTGTGTTAACTGGAGCGCTCATCAGCGGCTGGATGTACACAGCAGTGGCTAGACATCTGTATGCGGGGTGCATGTTTAAATGTGTGTATGACTGTGCAGTGGCTCATTCTCTGTGTGTGTTGATTTGTATGCATGCCTTTGTGTGGATTTTGTCTGGAGTGTGCACATATGCAATAGTGTGAGTGAGTGCCCCTGTGTCCCAGCCCTCATTTCTCCCCTCCCCAGCAAGTGAGGCTTCACTGGTCTCACTCACTCTCTGGCCCAGCCTCAAGTCATTGAGAGAGGTATGAGGGTCTCAGCTCCCAGGACAGGCAAAGCAATCTTGTTAAGAAACCAAGCAGGCACTGGAGGAAAGAGAATCCCTCCAAGGCCTGGCTTTTGCTTCTCCCTGTTCCTTCCACTGCTCTCTTCCACTAGCTACCCATATTTTACTCTATGGCCAGAGCATCTGGTTAACAGCTGGTAAATGACACAAAATTTACAGTCAGAAATTTAATACAGATATGCATTCAAATTCTAATGTTGGATCCACTGCCTTAATCAAGTCAAATAACCTCATAGATGGTGATTTATTTTCTGAAAAATTGGGAGAATAATATTACCTGCACTGTCTTTACCCCAAAGTTGGGACACTCACTCATAAAGATATTTGGTAAGCCATTGAACTATGTAGGGAATTATTACTAATATTACATAAATACTGTTTAAGAATGTAAGTTTGTAGGCTCAACAAATATTCATTCAACAAATATTTAATAAGCATCCATTATGTGTCAGTCCCCAAGCAAGGTGCTGGGGATATAGAGGGAAACAAATAGGCTTGATGCCTACCCTCATGAAACTTAGAGCCGTCCAGCTGGGGGTGATACATGTGGTTACAAGTAAAATGAGTGTTACAGAAAAGAAAAACTTAAAAGTATAAACTGGGCGGTAAGGGGAAGGCCTGTGAAAGTGATGTTTCAGGTGAACCCTGAGAGACGACTGAGACCTGTCTCAATGTAGGCGAACTGTGAGCTCTAAATATGAATGAGTGATAACATGTGAAGCAGAGTTCAGGGTGTTGATATACATATGTCTGGAAAGGAAACTTTCATCCACTGCCCCTTGTGTCAGATGTGTCAGAAATCCGAAAGGTGAGGAAACTGCTTAGGATGCCTGGAGGCCATTCAGAATCTAAAGGGTTCAGGAAAGCCCCTCTCCTAGGGTACAGTGGGAATATCTGTGTGTTACCCATGTGCCTTCATTATGACAGAGGCTGAAATCACTGGCTTGCTCTTGTTGGTTTAAAAAAAAAAACGGTTAATGAAAAGTTTAAGAAAGGAAGTGATGCTATACTTCGCAATGTGAAACATTTACTGACTGAATGAATGGGGACAAATGTTTTCTCAACTTTTGAAGATACCTGGAACCTAGGTTTCCTGAAGCCTAGTAGAGTTCCTGGGTCCTTGTCTTATGGGTCCTTGCAGTGGTGATAGCTTCATGTAGCAGGCAATCCAAAACACTTGTTAAGCAGCAGTTCCACAAGCTCCAAGAACTGTGTCAAGCTAGACTGGGGCTTAGGACTTTCTCTCCCTAGTTTCTCTTTGTCTTGAACTCAGTCTACGAACATTTGTTTGCTTGAGACAGGGTCTCGTTCTGTCGTCTGGGCTGGAGTGTAGTGGTGCAATCTCAGCTCACTGCAATCTCCGCCTCCCCGGTTCAAATGATTCTCCTGTCGCAGCCTCCCAAGTAGTTGGGACCACAGGCATGTACCACCACACCCAGCTAATTTTTGTATTTTTAGTAGAGATGGGGTTTCACTGTGTTGCCCATGCTGGTCTTGAACTCCTGGCATCAGGTCATCTACCCGCCTTGGCCTCCCAAAGTGCTGGGATTACAGGCGTTAGCCACCACACCTGGTCACAGTCTATAAATATTTATCAACTATTTTGGGTATGGGGACAAAGAGGTGAACTTCTGAATGAGAACACAAATTACACTAGGAGGCAAAATAGAGTAAGTGCCATAGGAAAGGTGCAAAGTGTGAACATGAAAGAGGAGGATTTTTCCCTTCCATCAACTCATTTCACATCCATTCATGTCTAAAGAACATGCTAGTATCCATCTAGAGAAGATGAATGACATTATGACATTGATGGCTACAGAGTGGGGCAGCTATGAGCCAGATGTGGCAGACTGGTTTGTTCCACAATTGTTCAAACTTTTCTTGGTGTGCCTTCCTACGTAAAAGAGACTAGAAAGCTAAAAATCAATTTCCCAGACTCCTTGCTGTTGGGGCTCCCATTATAATTTAGGTTTAGCTAGTCCTGTGCAACTGGGCAAGACCTGAATTCAAAAGTGTGTTCAGAAAAAAAACTCAAAAAACAAAACCTGAGCCGGGCGCGGTGGCTCACGCCTGTAATCCCAGCACTTTGGGAGGCTGAGGCAGGTGGATCACGAGGTCAAGAGATCGAGACCATCCTGGTCAACATGGTTAAACCCCGTCTCTACTAAAAATACAAAAATTAGCTGGGCATGGTGGTGCACGCCTGTAGTCCCAGCTACTAGGGAGGCTGAGGCAGGAGAATTGCTTGAGCCCAGGAGGCGGAGGTTGCGGTGAGCCGAGATCGTGCCATTGCACTCCAGCCTGGGTAACAAAAGCGAAACTCCGTCTCAAAAAAAAAAAAAAACAAAAAAACAAAACCTGAGTTTTGTGAAGAGGAGGGGGCAGCCTGGAAGGAATCTACTTTGCTGTTGCTGACTTGGAAGGTACAATGTGACTCTGGAGTTCTGCCAGTTCCTGATTCCCATATTACACCTAAGATGTTGTGTTCCTGTAGTCAACTGGGCCAGTCACTGGCCTCCTGATTGTGGCAGAAGTAACTGTTCCCTTGGGGTGGTGGGGTTAGTATGGTGACTGGTTTTGAGACTCATTTCTGCAAGCCCAAGTCAGAACTTGTTCTGCAATGGTTCTGAGTTTGATTCTTTTTATTAAATTCATGTCTGCTTAAAATCCTAACTGACATATCATGTTATGAATTATAGGTGTTGTGAAAGTCAGGGAAGGGAGATGAGTGTGGATCAGAACAAGCAGGGAAGAAAGGACTGCCTTCTTTACTCTTTCTGTCCACCTCCTATGCTCAACCCCATTTCAATCCTTCAACCTTCAATCCTTCAACCTTCAATCCTTCAATCCATCAACCTTCAGATTGATCAGTTGATTAAATATAAGCAACTACAATGCACCAGGCACTCTGCTTGACGTTGGGGTCACAGTAATGAACAAATAAGGAAGGTCTCTGCTTCCACAGGGCTTATGAGACAGATGCGAAACCAGCAACCAAGTAAATATATGATTCAAAACTGTGGTACGTTATGAAGGAAACTAAGAGGGAAACATGGGAAAAAATACTGATATGAAGTTTGTGAGATAACCTATTTTGATTGAGAAGTCTAGATGATCTCTTCAGTAGGTGATATTTAAGCTGAGCCCCAAAGGATAAAAAAGGGCTTGTCATACAAAGGTGGCCAAGGTGAGGGGAGGTGCCAGGCAGAAGGAATGGAGTATGTACAAGCTACCTTACTCTTTCTAATGCCTCCCTGTTTAACATTAGCCTAAACATAGCCTTTTTTGTTGAGGGGGCTGTCCTGTGCATTGTAGGATTAGCAGGATCTCTGGCCTCTGCCCACTAGATACTACCTACTAGTAGCAGCCCCTCTCAACCCCAGCTGGGACAACCAAAAATGTCTTCAGACATTGCCAAATGTTTCTAGAAGGGCAAAATTGTCCTCTGTTGCAAACCACTGTCTTATGGGTAGCTCTCTCTGCTTTAGTCAGGGTGCTTTTCTCACTGACTCCCAAATGCACCATCAATGTTTACATTTCTGCACCTATAATATGCTGTTTCCTCTAATTAACCTCTCTTCTTCTGCCGCTCCACAAAGCCTTACCCATATTTTTACTACAAATTCATGGCTTTTTCCATTAGGGAGGCTCTGTTTGGATGACTCTCATGTGTTTTGGTTGGTAAGGGAAGAGAGGTCCATCCTAGTGCTGTTTGCCCTCTGGCTACAGCGGCAAGGGAGTGTGAATTACATACCCTTTCCTTTTCTGCCCAGTTAGGAGCTGAATTGGTGGGCATGAGACCAGAGTGAGCCAGTCTTTCCATGTGATCTCCATAAGATTGCCTTGCTTTTCTTTTGAATGGTTGACTGCAAAGAGGTAGCCCTGGGCTGCCACTAGCTGTATTTTCCTGCCACTTGGAGAGACCCTGCTTATGGCAGGAGACAACACACAAATAGAAGCAGATTCAAGAAGAACTGAAAGGTGGAGCAAGTGCCATGACTACATTATTAAAGCCCTTTTTCAGATACTTGTGCTAAAACAGCCTCATTCTTATATTTTCTTTCTTTAAGCTACTTTGAATTGTTTCTGTCAGTTAGCATGGAATGTCCTAATCAATATCCTTCAATGCCTAGTTCAAATATTTCCTCTTTTTATTTTTTATTTATTTTATTTTATTTTATTTTATTTTATTTATTGTAGCTCGCGGTTAAAAGGGCCGCCGGCGGGGGGGCCACGCGGCCCCAGTTATGCGCAAGCATGTGCTCTGGCGCTGCAGATTGACCCCCGGCGCTACTCGGAGGCGCGGCGGGGGCTCAAAGACAGCGCGTAATATTTCCTCTTTTATCAAGTCCTCTCAGCATAGAACAGTAGGAAGGAAATGCCTTCTTTGCATTCTTAGCTGGTTTGCTGGATCCCAGCAGCCACTTCTGTGCATCTCTTCCCAGCTCTGAGTTTAGTGATGTAAT